AACCCTACGAGGTCTGCTACGTGCCTGTGGGTCCACAAGTGGTGAAGGGCTTCCTTGTAAAGAAAACTGCCTTTTCCGTGCTTTAAAAATGTGGAGGCTTCTCTGCCTTGATCCCATCGTTGTGCTTTTCGCTTCTTTGAATAAGATTCGTTTTGTTTCTGGGGTAGAGTTTTTCTGTGTTGCCATAGAGAAGGAGGGATGTTGATTTGAAGAGATTCGTAGACTCCACAGAAGGGCCTTCTCCAAAACAAAACAAAAATCAAACAAAACAAAACCTCTTTCCATAATTAACATGGCCAACCATAAATTTCCCGCGGGCCAGGGACATGGTATGCTTTGGGTCACCTTAAGGTTTTTCTCTTTGCCAGGTTTTTACATTAGGGATGTTATATGTGCTGTTGTGGAACATGATAGTCTATATTCTTCAGATTTATGCAAAAGTTTGATTTAACTTCATAATTTAAGAAGGAAAAATAAGCTGAGAAGCAGAAACATGGGACTATTGAAAGGAGATGTGCATCCAATTCCGGTTGCAGGTACATTTTTCGGAGGGGGAAATTGATGTAAGAACTCTAGAACTGCTGCTAACTCAAAGATTTTCCCACACTTTAATATTTAAAGTAGCAATAACTCCTTATTTAAGAATTTCCTACAACGAGGTCTAGGTGATCCTCCAGAGACACCTCTGTAGCAGCACAGATAAGTAGGTGGGTGTCAGACAGACTGAGCTAGGGGAGTGTATGTTTTACTGATACCAGAGGTTGTAGGATATTTCAAAGCAGCTTCCTATACAATGGGTGGTTTGTGACTTGGTTCTGGCTTTGAAAATTAGCATGTGTTTAAAACCTGTCTCTATTGTACCCATATTTGACATTTGACATTAAAAATAGCTACACTCAAAGATAAAAAATAATTGTTGCGTTGCCAAGGAAAATGTTAAGTATTTAGGCTTCCATGAAAACAGCATGATGCTCCGATGGGCTCTCTCATTTGTATCATCCCCCTGAGACTCATCAAGATCACGCAGACGTGATGTATGTAATTCCCACCCAATATTCCCAGCATAGTGTCTAGTGTCTGTTGGCCTGAAAACCACATTCATGCATTCACAGTTCACGTGAGCCCTTCTGGGTGGTACAAATGTATACTGTTCTGTATTTGTTGCAAAACGGCTAAGAAGTCGTGAATAATAGAAATAAATGCCTGGGTAGATAGTTAAAATAGAAATTATCATAGACCAAAAATTCTGGTGGCCAGCGTGATCCTTTCTCAAGAATTTAAAATGTGGGAAGGGAAAAACAGATGGATATCAATTCCACATTGCTCTGTGTCCTTTAAAATATTCTTCCAAAATGAATCCAGGTTAAAGGAACTTGGTGAGAGCTGAGGAAAGGCATGAACTCTTAAATGTTGCTGCCACTACTCACCATTAGGTGGCAATGGAGTGCAGATTCAGTACAGAGCTCTTCCTCTAGGTTTGTGCCCATGGTTATAACACCAAGAGGAGGTACCCCAAAAGATAGTCCCCTAAAGTAATTTGCTTGAGTAGCCACACAGAGCATAAAAGCTGCCTAAAGGCAAAAAATAAATAGGGTTAGGGTTAGGGTTAGGGTTAGGGTTAGGGTTAGGGTTAGGGTTAGGGTTAGAGTTGATTTTAACCAACTTAGGCCATCTATTCCCTCATAGTAATATTTTATGCTATAAAGAGTGAGAGTCAAAATTATAATTCTGTCATTGCTTTTTACTTATTTGTGATCTTAAAAAATCATCTTTGGTTTTGGCTCACTGATCTTCAAAAATGAAGTTGAATTATTACTATTACTGTTTTTACATGACTGAGACACTTGTAAATGAATGTCTCCTGTCCCAGCTCTCTCATAACTGAATGAGTAAAGTCGATGATGGCACCTATACATTACACAGAAAATATGTCTGTGAAATGTGGATTCCATTATGGGTTCCCTGAGGAGGAAAAGCAATCCTCATCTTAGCCAACTCCTTGATTTTAGAGATCAGGAACCTAAGGTGCATATCCAAGGCTGCATAGTTAATGCCAACACCAGAAAGGCATAAATGTATCTAGTAAATGTATTCCTCTGGTGACCAAATACTTTTACTAGTAAAATAAATGAATCCAAATACCGTAATGGTCATCTTTCCTCAACAGTGGTTCACAGTCATGCACATTCGGGTGGAAATAATTCCTCTCAAAGGTAACCTTAGTGAAGTTCTAAAACACGCCATTACAGTGGGTACATGACATCAATGCTAATAAAAGCTGTGCTAAATCCTGGCCTGAGCATATAGAAAACTGGTGATTCAGGAGGGGAAAAAAAGTGATGGAGGATCCTTTGAAAGTAAGCGAAGGAATAGACACAGTGGGGGAGATGGGTGAAAGCAAAGACACCCCTAGCCAGCAATCTAGGAACATGATTCTTGAGACTCAGGGGCCTGTGGAATCAGGGAGCCACCATATCTGATAATAGCCCATTTTTTATCATTGCTAAAGGGATGATTCAGTTCAATGATGTATGAGGTAAGCTGAATTGAATTAAACCAGTAAAACTGTAATAATAATAACAAGTTACAATACTGATTTTCAAAGTATTACATTAGTTGTAGTTACATTTGCGTTTACCAAGCACCAGGTGCCACAAGTAAAAGTCAAGTTTTTACTCAACTTAAAAGAATCAGGATGATTTAAAAGTTGTAAATAGGCAGACCATTTTTAGAGCACAGTGAAATATATTTTGCAAAACATGTCTCTTCAGGTAAGAACAGATAATATTTATTGTTTATAACTTTGTTGTACTCTAGAAATATGGCGCTATGACTATTTCTATGAGAAAATAGTACCTGTATTGACATGTGATTTGAAATATGGTAGTGTAGATTTTTTTTAAGTTACATATTTATATACAGTATGTTGGAGTGACCGATGTGAACAGTTTCAATAACATATAGCTTGAATGTATAATCTTTGGCCGGAAATTTTACTCCTGGAAATGATTTCTCAGAAATGGTTCAAAAGAAGAAAACAGTTCTTTGTATAAAATGTTCATAGCATTGTTATTTATGACAATTAAAAAGGGATAGAACAATCAACTGCAGAACAAAAAAGAACAAAATGGTTAAGAGAACTAAAATGTGTACTGGAAAATTATTACAAAATATTGATAGCAATATATATGTATATATAATATATACACATATATTAGTAATAGTGTAAATAATAAAAATAAAGTTTTTAAATATAAATATATATAGTGTCCCCCAAAAATGTGTACACACACTTTGAATAATTATAAAGGCAGTGTTTATTAAAATAGATTTATTTCATTTTCAAAATTGAGCTATCAGCTGTTAAAGTACATATACATTTTTTGGGACATTGTGTGTGTGTGTGTGTGTGTGTGTGTGTGTGTGTATGTGTGTGATTGGACAAAAAATTGAAGAAACGTAATAGCATATAGGCTTATAAATGACATATTTACCTCTTTTCATATATTTTAATTGATTTAACGTATTAAATTCAATTATCTTTAAATGGCTGAAAAACAGCTTAGTCTTTATCATTTATAAAATAGTATATTTTATAATTTTAATAATAGATATATTGTTAGTAATTTTATATTGATTTATAGGGGTAAAATATTCTACTCTTTTAAGCCATACATGTGCCTAATCAGTTTTAGCCATTCTTTAGTCTTAAATTTATGCAAACTGTTGAGTGAAATTTCTAAGAATACTGTTAACAAACACTTCCAATTACAACAGTCAAAGCTTAAAATTTTAGTAGTATATGTTAAACAGCTTAGATGGAAAGAGAATGGATAAAGAATATAGGAAGGGAGAAAATTAAGACTCATAGACTGAAAGGAACCTCAGAATCCCCCATCCAATGGGGTTTCTATGGATAATTTGCAGAGGAAAGATGGTCAGCCTGAATCTACTCATAACTCTGAAATCCAGAAATTGGCCTTCATCCTGATGTCTACGGACCTGGGTCAATCTAATATCTAATTCAGTAATCATCACACAGTCACTTAGATCCTTGCTATGCAAACTCTGATTTACTTCATTTCACCAAGTACCCATCATGCTTTTGAAATGTGCTGTGAATATGACAGCAATTTCCCCCTAAACGATAACATTTAGGTAGTCAGTCTAAACAACATTAAGTTTACATATTCACCCAACGTGTTAGCTTTCATTCATTGCAGTCTTTATGTGGATATGCTCATGTTTGTCATTTCCAATATTATAAGTATCTATTACAGATACTGGTCTTGATGCTTAGTATAAAAAGAAAGGAAACTCTTTTGAGAGTTCAGTGCACTGGGAATTCCAACCAATATTTCTCTTCTAAGGTAAAATGCTACATGTTACCTGGATATTGTTTGTTGCATTCTATTTAAAGTTTTCTGTTTTCTCTTTTTTAAAATGCATGTGTGAGAACAGAGAATGTTAATTCAAATGTAGCATGGATGTCCGCTTACCGATATGTTCATCCGTACTGTATGTGGAAATGTTGTCCGTGGGGGAAAAGCATATTAGAGTGAGTGGATACTTTGCTGTCAGACTCAATGTGGGGGTTTTTCTGCTTGCTTGAGAAAATGTTGAGGAGCAAGGCTGTATGGGGGTGTCCAGGCTTCCCATTCAGTGATTTGGTGTCTATGTTCTTGCCATGTTCCTGGCCTTTGAAAAAAATCAATGGGACGGAGCCCTGACTTTCCCTTAAAACTTGAGCAGACTGGACTGTAGATACGTTCAAAGCATTCGAACCTTGGTTTTTTTGAAGTCATTGAAAGCACCCTCCAAAATATTTTAATGATGAATCCTGCAGAAACCCTTTACTTGGTTGTATTTGTTTTTCTTCCTCTTGGTTTTTTACAGCAGGATATATTAAATGCTAAGAAAAGTACCATGCCATTATCCAAATTATCTCTTACTTAGTACCAGTTTAAACATTGATTACATTGCAAATCATTTCATTTCAGCCACAGCGTCCTGTGTTTACTCATGAAAACATTCAAGGTGGGGGGGAACCGTAAGTATTCTTCTTCTCTTCTAAATTCCAGACTAACCTTGACCCACAACATGGACGATTGATGTACCCAAATAGAGAAAGGCACCACTAGAGGAAGAGGGGTTGCCATAGTCTCCATCTTCGTAACAGAAAGAGCTACTTTAAAAAAGAAACCCGTGATCTGCAGAGAAGACTGATTCATGCACTAGCAAGGCCTCCCAAAGCTGCAGCGATTCCTAAGATTATGAATCTTTCTTCTCTGTTCACTCGCCCCGTAGATCCTAGTAACTACGGCTTTGAAGGCACAGAAAATGTCTTTGCACATATTTAGAGAGAGGGAAAATGTAACAGGAGACTTAAGGTGATACATCTGGGACATCATTCCAAAGTTAGGGTCTGAGAAGGGTTTTGGGAAATAGCAGGATTTAAAAGGCACTGTCATTCAATCACATGCCTTTTAACACTCTCCAATTCCCTCTCCCTGCTGATACGTAGCCAGAGCAACCTGAAGGTGTCAGACCCATATGTTGTATGTCTTTAAGACCCATATGTTGTGTGTCTTTCCTGCTCCATTTTTGCCCGTGAGAGATACTCAGAGGTGACCTACCTCCTCCTGACTCCCACCTGTTCTGTGAGTCAGGAGCTGACCCTGGAAGGAGGCTTGTCAGGCCTATCTGAGTACAGGTGAGCCTCCAGCCCACTGCCCAGGCTCTGCTCACTGGGACAGAGCGAGTCCTGCAGGGCCATGCACCCCCCTCACTCCTCGCAGACCTGACACTCAGCTAAAAGCATGCCCGTCAGAAACATCTCTCCCCTAAAGCGGCTGTCCCCGAGTACAACCAGAAGGTCTTGCTAAGAACATGAAAAGAACAGGTTGGAAATAAGAATCACTCAAAAATTTATTAACTGAGAATAGTTTAAATATGGCCTTTAATTCTAAAGTTTCAGTTTGTTTTTTTGGGTTTTGGGGTGTTTTTTTTCTCTCAAACAACGATAGGATCGCATCACACAAGAATAAATGTCAGGGCTGTTTAGGTTGATTGCATTCCTAATAGATTATAGCAGCAGCTTTTAAGGACTTTATGAAGTAATAGATACGGTTTACGGAGCATGGAGTTAAAACTCCCAGTATGGTCATTTGACTGTGTATGAAACTACCGCACTCACAGGTGGAAGATGGCACATTTTCGAAGTCTTGGACATTGTAAAATGTGCCTTATGAAACTTCTATTTGATTACAACCCTAATAGGGTGTCGCTTAATCTCTTTCATTTAAAAAAAAAAAATAGTGACACAATGCTTTAAGTCTCTAAATTCAGAATTATGGTGAAATACATGATAGAAAAAGTTGCAAGTTAGAGAACTTAAGTTTGGCTGAGGCTTTCCTATTTAAAAGACAGAGGTCTCTGAGGCATCCTAACCCACTACCATCATTCATCTCACCAACACATCTTTCAAAACAGCATTTCCCATTGTAATTCGACTGTATTTCCTGTTGTGCAACACTGATTTTGAAAGCTAATGAGGCAGGAGGGTTTCTGAAACATTTGTTTATGTTTCCCTTCAACCCCCCTCACCGCCCCTGCCTTTTGTGGTCTAACTAAACCAGAGTGGTAAGTACACTTTGACATGCACGCTGGCTTTCGTCAGACCCAAGTGAAGTCGGAGTTGATGCCAATTTTATTTTAGCTCTTGGGACCTTGAGATTTTTCAAGCAGCTGGGCTTTGTAGCCTTAAATAGGCCTGTCTCCCTACGTGGTTGGAGATGTGCCTGGGTGAGGGCTGAGCCTGAAAAACTCAATCAGAAAATCAGTTTCCCGAAGGGAGAGACGCGGTGCACATCCATTGACTTAGCAGCAGGGCAGTGAGTGACTATCTCACTCCTGTGAACTTGGAGAAGGGAGTATATTGCCATCACCTTGCCCCCTGGGTACACAAAACATATCATCCATTCATCTGAAGGGCCTCGAAGTTAAATCCTTAAAGCAAACAGCAAAATCAGGGATGACCCAAGCAAGCCTCCAAACGAAGTAATGTCGGTATTGGACACCTCCCTGCCTTGTTGCCACTGTTCTCAGACTCTGGCTGCTTTCCCCGACCCTTCTCCAAAGTCCAATCCCCACAAGCACAAGCTGCTTACCGGGTGTCCTTGGAGGACCAGGTACTGACAGGAGAAGACATCTCCAGTGTCGGCAGCTCAGGCTTCGGGCCAGGCCAGGCCAGGGAAGAGGAGGTTTCCTAGGAGAAGGTGGTAGGCACCACATCGTATCCACCCTTTCTCAGACACCCCCACCAAAGCCCACTTTATCAGGTCCCCCACCCCAAACAAGTGCACGGACCGAGAGGAAGCCAAGGGAGCCTCGTCCCTGGTTTATGACCTGATGTTTGAGTCCACGTGACAGAATAATTTTGTTCCACCAAAATGTGATTTTCCGATGAAATGAAGACATGAGAAATACACCATCTTTATTCCTGAGCAGTATTCAATATTAATCAGCTTTTCAAAGTTGGCTTTAAAAACAACAACAACAAAATGCCCTCAAATGTGGTTCTTCCATTCTTCCATTGGCAGAATTACACAACTGTTGTGAAACCAGCAGAAACAAGTTCACTGATTTTTTTTTTTAAATCCCCCTCCCAAGACTAATAACGTTTTAGAATCACTGGGACATCTTTGTCTTAGCTGCACATCCAACGCTGCCTGGCCTTAGCCGCTAGAATTTGTGTCTTTGCTTTTCAAAATGCCAGTTCATGTTAAAATACAAGCAATTTTATTACCAAAAACTCAATGGCTGAATTTGTTGCTGATCAATATCACCAAAATTTATGCTCTCAAAGAATTCAGACAGAGAAAGAAAAGTGAGTAGCATTACTGATAAGACATTTTTTATGTAAAACTGTTTCAAGAGTTTTTACATCAAACACTCTTTCTACAGAACCTTTTAAAAGGAATTTATGCCCATAATACCCCTACTCTTTGATATTAGCTCAAGTGATAACTGAGCATAGAATACATCCATTCATTTCATAGGTGGACAATATCAGATTTTTATATTCTAAATCCGAGAAAACACAGATTCAAACTATGAAACCAACCTATTTTAAAAAATTCTTTGGGTGAAAAAAAAAAAAAAAAAACTCTTTTCTAGTAATCCCCACTCAGTGATTTAGAAGATATATGTCACAGGTATTTTACACATCTCAACTTAGAATCCTTTGAAAATTCAACTTGCAAACTGCAATTAATTATTCTTGCTTCTAGATAGCTAAAACTGTAATTCCTTCTTTTTAGAAAGCTGAATAACACACATGGCACTTTTTTTATATATATATATTCTGTCCTATTGTTTAACATCTGAATGCTAGATATCTATGACTGGCCAATTGAAATGTGACTCTGGCTTATAAATGTTAAAATGTTTGAATCCTACTTGTGGATGTTGTCATCTCCCATGAATATTCCTCATTACGAGTGTTGAAATACTTCCAGGAGAGTCTAAATAGTTCTGTTTACAAGCTTACCAAAGACTTAGGTTAATAGCAATATCATAATTATAGTATAATAATAGAAATGCTAAGAGAAAAGTTAATGCTGTATATCTTCTGTAGTTTCACCAAGGTGTGACTTTTGTGTTAAACACTTGCATCTGTCCTGTTTAAGGTTTCAGGCTCTGTATAACTATACTCCTAGGAATGAAGATGAGCTGGAGCTCAGAGAAAGCGACGTCATCGACGTGATGGAAAAATGTGACGATGGATGGTTTGTGGGTACGTGTACAGTGCCTTTCACACACATTTGCCCATGGTTGACGTGCTTGTGTTTGCTCCCTGTGTGGATGGGTACGGTGGTCAGGCTTTCTTTGAGTTCACAATGCCTTGGATCTTCCATACATTCATCTGTCATCCCAAAGCAACTGCATTTTTAACAGGGGTGAGCAAGACTGCTCCAGATATATGTGGTTTTCTGCTAGCTTTATTTCTGGTTCCACTGGGAGAAAAGAATTTCCTTAAAGAGCACCAACCAGGAAAGATTGAGATGTAAGAAAAAAAACAAAAATGTTCCCTAGAGGAGGAGTATCAATACTCTATTCCATGGGGAGTGCTAGTTGTCAGCAGTGAGGGTCAGTTTGAGAGAACAAGGCCACTCACCCCCGTCTAGGGCTGCTGTCATTGCCCTAAGAGGCTAGGGCTTTCTTAGCCTTCATTTGCGGAGGAAGGAGGGAGACAGACATTCCATTCTGACTTTGAAAAGACAGTCTCATTCTTACATCTTTTTTAAAATATGTTTTATTGATTTTTTTATAGAGAGGAAGAGAAAGGGATAGAGAGTTAGAAACATTGATGAGAGAGAGTCATCGATCAGCTGCCTCTTGCACACCCCCTACTGGGGATGTGCCCGCAACAAGGTACATGCCCTTTACCAGAATCGAACCCTGGACCCATCAGTCCACAGGCTGACTCTCTAGCCACTGAGCCAAATGGATTTCAGCTCATTCTTACATCTTGAGAGGAGACTAGACATCTTCTAGGAGAATGTTTGTGGACAAGAGTATCAGACACCATCCTCCCAGTATTTGTTTCTTTTTCACCTGACTACCTTCCTCATGTCCCCAAGCAAGCTTCCTGCTTCTGCAAACCCTGCAGGCCTTGCTCAGGTAGGGAAGGCTTGGAACGCCGAGTTCCAGGCCCAGGCGTATGAACTATTTCATGTTCTATCACTCCCTCCCCTTTCATGTGTTGCAGGAACTTCAAGAAGAACCAAATTCTTTGGTACTTTCCCCGGAAACTATGTCAAGAGGCTGTGAAGCACCCTCCCCGCTGTGTACACTAAGTCTCAGAACCTGGCCCGAAAAGACCCCGCAGGCCTCCCGCTCTCATGCCTTATGTTTCCTGTAGAAGTCACCACCATCCTCATCTCCACCTGCCGCCCAACCACCAGCAGAGTAACCGCCAGAGCCTCGGGGAGGCTGGCAGGCCTGTTCTGTGTGAAAGTGCATATCCCTGCTTTCTGCTCTAAACTGAACGTCTGTATAATAGGATCAGAAAGAAAGTCATCATACTTACAAAGCGGGAAATAAACTGAAAAGTGTCCGAGGAGGTTCCCTGGTCCACTTTGAGGATGTTCCCCCCACCCCCCTCCTCAGGTGACCAGAAGATGGTTTATTACTAAATACGTGGTGTGTGTGTCCACACTCTTAGCTTGGCAGTCTGTTTTCCTTTCACGAGTTTGCCTAGAGTCTTCGTTTACACAACATGACAACTGTACTTCAGCTATTATTTTCCTGCACTTATACGTATGTTGTAATATGCACAGTGATTACACAAGCTAAAGCAAGAGTAGGAGCGTTCATTGGGATGAGTGTGATTTTTGTTGATTGAACGTGGGTTTTCGAATAGCAGTCTTTCCCTGCGATTCTTTTGTACTTTTTAGAAGTGCAAACAGTAAGTGAGTAAGAGCTTTGGGTAATAATCATGAGAATATAAGAGATTTAGCTAGACTACAAAAAAAAATATTGTGTTGTAAAGTTGCGTTGCTATTTTATATTAAAATGTAATGATCAGCATCATAAACAATGAGCCCTTAGTGCTTATTTATCTGACAAAATTTAAATAAAAGCAGTGTTAGTGAGAGGTGCAAAGAGTTATTCTAACATAGACACTTGAAAGTATCTGTAAGCAATATTCCTAGGTAGGATTTCACTGTGTGTGCACATAGCCATTTGCGATTGTATGAGAACAGGCAATCCATATGACATGTCATACATTTTATGGAATGTAAAAAAAATCCCACGCATTATTTTTAGAAATAGAAGACTTTAGAAGTATCACAGGTATTAAGGCTGGTTTTAGTAAGGATTATGATCAATACAATTATTTTTACTATGATAATTTTTTTTTTCTATGGAACTCAGAATCCTGGCTACATTTGAGGACAGGAATATGTTGAGCCTGATTTTCCGGTGTGTATAAAATACTTCCTCAAAATACATTAGGCACTTTTTAGAGGCAATGTTAACTCATCCAGGTTCTATTTTCTGCCCTGAGGTAGAAATTTACAAAAGGATATTGGGACCTGGGAGATTTAATGTGGCGAACAGTGCCTAAATCACACACCTCCTGAGAACTAGCTTTGTATTTCTTATGACTTTGCATAAGAACTATTCATATTTGGATCTTGAGCACCTTATAGAGAAAACTTTTTATGGCATTTCTTCTGTGGACAGTGACTGATCTTTTCACAATGTAAGTAGACTCTAGAATTTTGTACATATGGTTGCTTTTTTTTTTTTTTTGTATAGACTATTTAGTTGTTGAGAAAACAAGGGAATTTCCTAACTTGCTCTTTATCCTTCACTTAAACTAAAGATGATCCTTTGTATATCCCACAGATCATAAGCACGCCTCGATAGTGTGATTCTATAAGATAGCGTTTATGCAAAAGTTTATGAGCTTACAAATCTCAGCAGCCAGACTGAAATGTATATAACTATACATTACAATACAGAAGGGTTTCAATAGGAAAAGGGTAAAGAAACACCTTTTAGTAGCCAACCTTGATTACTGTCAAGTTCACAACCAGCTTTATATTTTTAAAGGCCTTGGGTTTGAAATTAGGTCAACTGCATGCAGCTTTGCTGATAAATGAATAATTATCTTCCATGCCATTTATGAGAAAAGACTTCAATGTCTGTTGCCTGTCATATTTAAGAAAAATTACTGTTTCTACTCTCTGTACCTGATTTTGAAAGGAAAAAAAATTCCTACTTGGCTTTCAGGTCATTGACTTTGAATTCTTACAAGCAAAGGTCATTGTGTTTTTCTTGAATAGACGTCTAATAAATTTGCTTGGAAGTATACTTCAGTCTTTCTTCTTGACATTTATCTTTAAGGAAACTGTGTATTTTATCCAATATGTTAGATAAGCTGAGAGTAAATGCATTTGGTCTGTGTTCTCTAGACATATAGGAAAATGCATCCTGCTCAGCTCAGAGAAGAAATGTTTCTTTAATCCTCCCCTGATAACATTTTTCCATTGATTTTTAGAGTCTGTAAGGGAGAGATGGAGGAGAAAGAGAGAGAGAGAGAGAGAGAGAGAGAGAGAGAGAGAGAGAGAGAGAGAGAGAGAGAGAGTCAAACCCAAGATCCTTCAGTCTACAGATTAACAATATAACCACTGAACTACACCAACTTGGGTGAGAGAAAAAAATTTAAACCCACCACTGAAGCTTGCTTGCTTAATTACACTTTGGTTAAAAATTGCTCTTCAGCTAAAACAACACATTAAAATGTTTTTGCCTGTTCATCAGCTATTTTTTTTCCAAGGAGGAGTTAATTACAAAAAGGTGTAAACACTTTCCCAATTCGACTGTCTTAAAATTCTCCCAAACTTCAGTGCTAAACACACTGTAGATCACACTGTGTCCCTAGCTCAACAACTACGTCTTCTTCCTCCTCCCACTCCACCATCCTCATACTCTGCCATCTCCAACAGCCACCACTCCCCACAGCACCCGGCTGTGCCCAGGATGACAAGAAAGGTATGTGTTCCATCCAGTAAAACAGTCTTTCCCCAAGGAAAGCTCACTTTGGTCTTTAAAAGTATACAGTGATCCATGAGGATACAATTTTGGTTACTGACATGTTGTTGTTTTTTTAATATACTTCTATTTACTTCAGAGAGAAAGGAAAAAGGAGAGAGAAACATCAATGATGAGAGAGAATCATTAATCAACTGCCTCCTGCACTCCCTCCACTGGGGATCGAACATACAACCCGGGCATATGCCCTAATTGGGAATCCAGTCACAACCTCCTGGTTCATAGGTGGACGCTCAACCACTGAGCCACACCAGCCAGACGATCAACCTCTGTTAACCGAGCTTGAGTTTGCCCATGAGCTGTGATCATTATGGCTGTGGGGCTGGAGGCTGGAGGCAGTGAGCCCACACAGCAGCTGGTGGTGGCTTTGGGAAGCGCTTGGTAACGGTGTCACTTGGAGACAGGCAAGCCCAACGTGTTCTAGGAACACCGTGTGCTCCCAGGACTCCTCAGTCCACAAAGCCCTAGGGTATGTATCCCAGCCATTCTCTGCTGGGTGACTCACTGAGTGACCAGGAACCTTAGCTCACTGCTAAATTCAGCCCCTCCACAGGTCAAGAAAGTTCCAGCTGAGCTCATGCACATACATATATCTTGACCCAAAAACCTTTCGGTATGAGCCAGACCTCTGCCTAGCAGATCTTCACCTGTTCCTTTGGGGTTTCTTGTTCATCTTTTTTCCTGAAATATGATAGGTGACTCAGTTGTCCCAACATTTTCCAAAAATAAGTGCCATTTCAAATAAGCCATTTAAATAAATTACCATTAACAACACCAGTGGGTGGGTGTCAGGTCTTACACTGATGTTATACACAAAGCTTGAGAATGGCTTTCTAAAGTAATTTTTAATTACGCAAGCAACAGATGCATATTGTGGAAAAACAGAGAATACAAATGAACAAAAAGAAGAGACAATCACTGAGAGTCCCATTTTTAGGGTAAATATTATTATACTTGGAAACATATTCCTGTGGAGTATTTTTCTCCACATGCATAGAAGTGTGTGTGTGAGCACACACATGCGCACATGCATAATATGCAGGCAGAAGTGGGATCGTACTGGACATATTATTGTATAACCTTCATTTACTATTGAGTCAGGACACTGAAATACGGTGAATAAGTCATGATTTCAAGTCAATTTGACAAAAGGTTGGAAAAGGAGTGAGGAAACAAAGCTAGTCATTGAAGCACCATTGCTTTTGGCACATTCACTGGGCTCATGTTGGTGCCTGAAGCTTTCTGTGTGGCTCTACTGAGAAGCTATCCAAAGCTTTTTATGTCTCCACAGGCCCCAGGGATTTCTAGATTATTCTTTTGTTAGCACTCAGGACTCTTAAGTCCTCAGGTTTTGCAAAGGTTGCTTCCATGATGGATACACAGTCTATGAGAGATCTGGCCCATTTCTCAGTTATAACTTGGCAGGATGACTGAGGGGACATCAAAGAAACAGCAAAGGTACCTGGATCTCTTCAGATACTGCCTCGGGCCCTCAACTCTTGAGATCTCTACTTAGCACCTAGTCCACAACACCAGACTGTTTGAGGGTGTTTCACCATATGTTCTCAATCACTTGCTTCAAGAAGTCATCTCAAATGCAATCAGAAGAGCCTTCAAAGGAAGTGTCAGCAGTCTGCTAGTTTCCATTCCACAAGGGACAGAGGATGGTATTGAAACATTCAAACACTTGCATTTGTCACTGTGTGTGTGATATACATATACATACATATATACATATACATATACACACACATTCATACATATATATACACACACACACACACACACACAGAGTGGGCAAAAGTAGGTTTACAGTGCTGAGTACGTGAAACACAGTTTACTTATGTATTATTCTTAATTAATTATTGTATTATTTTCCATTCAAATAATTGTAAACCTACTTTTGCTGACCCGTGTGTGTGTGTGTGTGTGTGTGTGTGTGTGTGTGTGTGTGTTTTTATGGGACTGTTAAAGAAAAGATAGATAATGAAAGCTAGTAATATCAGAGTCTTTCACTGGATAATCATGAAATATCATTGTTCTTCTTCAGAATACAAATATTGATAAGGTCATGATGAGGTATAAGCTCAAAATTTATAGACAATACTTACCTTGGAAAAAATCCCCTTTGGCAGAATGGCTAGGAATCAGTATACCTTTTCTAATGGCTCACTCATTATTCTTTAATCATATCAAGTAAAATTGGT